ATTTAACGTCAGATATAAAAATTTCAATTGTCAAGTTAATGAACGATCTCCACAAAAATACATGTAACTTCTAAATTTTAAACTATATGTACAATGGAAATAATCACAGAAAGAAAATACTTCATAATTATTATATGCGGTGGATTAAAATGGAATCAGATTTGATGAAATAGGGTATGATGGGTTCGCGTCTTGAGTTATTCGTTATATTTTGCATTACGCAAATTCAATGATTATTATAAACAGGTGAAATCTTCCAATGAATTATTTTGTAAATTTTGAATAAGCAAGCACTATAGTTGAAAAATATAATTTATCTTCGTGTTATTAATGCAATAGAGTAGAGACTTTAAGATAGCTTTGAATTCGAACATGGAATTAAACATGAAGAATAAATAATGGTTGGTTGAAATTACTGACTAACGGTCATTCATAATATTTATGAATTTTATTTGCTCTTTCGAAACCTCTTTCTTTGAGTTGTGAGAAATTCGATTTTAACTAGATTTAAGTTAAAAGTTAAAAGTATTATAGCTAGGGTTGTTAATGGAGTACGCCAGCTTATATTAAAACATATAACCCATTCCGGAGCAGTGGGTTATATGTTTTAATATAAACTGAAGCACTCCATTAACAACCTAATTATAGCATTAAATGTTCCCTCATAAATTTAAAATATTTGACAATGCCAACCAACCGCAAGAAAAACTTGCCGCCGCCAGCACTATCCAGCCAATCTGCTGTGCTACTTCTTTTCGTCCAAGAACAAATTCCTGTGAATGACCAAATAATCCTCCATGAATATATAGTAGAGTACTGTAACCAAGAATGATATATGATATGTGCAATAGGGTATTCGATAGACCAATAATTTCTAATATGGAAAGGAGAAGCACGCCGACGGGTACTGTGATTATATAGAAATTGCACGCTTCGCAAAGTTTCATAAGAGACTCGTAATCACGCGGAGAGGGCGCTTGATAAAATGAGCGATGTTGATTTGATTTAGATGTGGCAACTACTATTAATTTTTAAGTTGGACTTCTTAATAATGAATCATGATTAGAAATCCTTAGATAATCTCTCGGTTACCTTGATTGTCACCTATAGTGTTCGTACGCTGTTGTGTTGATTGTCCGTTTGGAATAGACATTTCGTCATTACTTGCAGAAATATTCTGCATTGATTTAAATATCTCAATTGAACCGTCACCAACAAATACAGCTGTTCTTCTACGTTGCTGCCAGAGATTAATTCTCAAGTAAAGAAAATATAGAACAAAAATCGCGCAATATAATGCGCTTATTTCTATTGAATTAACAGTTTGATCTTTTTCATTGCTAGCAAAATTGCCAATTTGGTGTATTTTTGTATGTTCATTATTGTCCCGTGCCAAATGAGAAGCGTAACTTGCATCTTCTGAGGGTGTGAATTGACTTGCGAGAGTATTTTCAATTACATTTGCCACTCTCTTTGCTCTTTCTTTTGCGGTTTTAAAAACTTTTTCATAGGATGATCTCATAATTTAGAAGTTACATGTATTTTTGTGGAGATCGTTCATTAACTTGACAATTGAAATTTTTATATCTGACGTTAAAT